AAAAAAAAAAAGTATATGAGTTATAGAAGGTCATAAGCAAAAATAAATGCACAGAAAAATGAATTAAAATAATTACAAGGGAAACAACTGCCCAGATGGAAACAAGAAAGGGGAAAGTTTCTCACATCTGTCCTCTGGCAAGAAGGAAAATAAGAGAAATTAAATCCTTAGGGTTGCATTGCTTCTCCTTGCTTGTTTTAGGATACTCAGATTATTAATTATGCTGGGTATTTAACCCCTGCTTCATCTGGTATCAGCATAGAGAATGTTATATTCTGGTGGTATGCTAATACTGGGTTTCTATAGGATACAAGAAGACAAAGTGTTCTGCCTAATAGAAGGCCAGACCCTTTTTTTTTTAAGCTGTGGATTTGATAGAGGGAAAATTTTATAAGCTCAATTTCTTTCAGGAAAAAGAACAACAGCACCAGCTGACTGCAGAACCTCTGTACTTCTGCTGGTCAAAGCAGAAGTTTAATTTCAAGAGAGCCAATTGCACAGCTGGGCTTAGGAATCAGAAAGGCAGATGCTGAATGTTTTCCTTGCTGCTGCTCAAACAGGCTGGGTAGCTCAGCTTGGGAAGATTTTCACCTAGTAAGAATTTGATCTGATAATCACTTTCCTCTCACCCATCACTCAGTTCCTTTCCTCTTCTCACCCCTGAAGAAAAAAAACACATTAGGATAGTCCACTTACCCAACTTACCTTTGATACCCCTGTTAAAAATTTGACTTTCAAAGCATAAAAGCCCAAGAAAAAACCCCAGCAAAAATAAATTTGGATGTCAAGTGTTGAAGATTCTCCCTTTTAAAAATGTTTAAATATTTAGATGTTTAAAATATTTTTAAAGATGTTTAAATACTACATTTCCATTAGTAATGGTATGTGTTACTTAGCCATCGCTAGTTTGGAGTGAGGACAGAAACAAAGCCTACATTTTTGGAGTTGCCACATTGTGCTATCTCAGTGTTCTGCTTTCAGGAAAAATAGTGACCTTTTATGTTCATTTCAGTTTCAGTCATTAGAAAACCCTTGAGATAGCCATGGTTTTTAAATAAGATCAGTGTGTTACAGGAAAGAAACAATAAGAGGGGAGAGAGGAGTGCATCAGAGAGACAGCTCTTCAAGTGACAGCTGCTGCATTCTGATCTTGCTTTCACTAAGCAAGGTCTTTCACTTTCACTTCCATTCACGTGTTTTTAGTCAGCATTGAAATATTTAATACTACAAAGACACTATAATGGAAAAAGTATAAACCAGTAATAGAGCCATTTGTAAAACACACTGAAAGGAAATAAAGCTATGTTCCTCTCCTTCTCTATGTGCCTCTTTTGGAACCTAGCTAGGATTTTGTGTGGCTGTGGTGACAGTGACTGCCACATCTTAGCTCTCACTTTTAGGCTCACTGGGCTGAGCCAGCTGTGCTGGTGGTGGATCTCCTGCCAGATTGATAAGGATTCTTTATCCTTATGAGGATTCAGAAATGCCCGTGCTATCCCAGCTCCTAGCACCAGTAGGAGTATTAAATTATGACTCAGTTTGTTGGAGGCAGGAGACAGACAGCTCTCAGCTCTGAGACCTAAGCAGCGGGAAAATCAAATGGCATCGCTAGAGGGCAACAAGACATCACAGACTTTGTGTTGTTAAAGCTGGAGCAATGTCACACCCTCACCGAGGAACAGCTGTTTGAGGAACAGCTTATGTAAGCCTTTGTGTTTTCCCAACTGTGTGACATACTGAATCTGGTTTCAGAAATGAAAGAGCTTAAAATATTAATTTTATTATACATGAACAAACAAAACTTATAATTTTGTGTTGCTTTATCTCTGTTCTGGTACAGTAAAACAATTACAAGAGTGGATATTTGTGCATAATTTTAATTTCTGAACAGCATATACCTAGGGCTATGGTGGAGTGTAACTTATTCTCCTAAAACCCCATGCACTATATACAAATAAAAATGTACAGGTTAGGAAAATCTGAATTTGTGGATCACTGTCTTTCCCTCCATCCCTCTCAGTCAGCATGAGCACCAACCCAAACTGATAACAGACATTGCAGGGACAGTGACCCTGTCCCACTCCTCCGCAGATTTTAGGGTAGTTATTAACTTTTACCTTCCATTTCCTGCTGTCCTGCTGGCACTAAGAGTGTTGTCAGTGTAAAACCAGCTTGCCACCCTGTGGTGGAAATGTAGGCTGTGTAATACAGAGATATGGTGGAGAACGTGGCCTGAAGCCACTGCTGTGTCTCAAGGAAGAGAGAGGGGTTTCTAACCCTTGGGTTGGAAGCATTTTGCAGATGCAAAGACTTTCACCATTAGTATTGTCATCCTTGCCTACCTTGTGCAGGCCAGCAGTCAAGGCAGAGCTCCAGGCTAGGGGTTTCCTGGCATTGCACATTGTCTCCTGCTCTGGCTCTTGGAAAAAGTGAGGCTGTCACCAGAAGCAGCTTCACTGTGAGAGCTCCCAGCTGACATCATGGAGTAAAGGGATTTTTCTGTGGTCAGAGGGTAGCTGGCAGTGTGCCTTTTTAAGCAGTGTTTGTTTGTTCATCAGGCTTGTAATGATGCTGACCTCTTACACAGACCTTCCTTTTCTAATTCCCTCATCTCCCAACTTGTTTGGAATAATTCTATGCACTTTCAGAAGACTAAATTCTAATCACCTCAGCTTTGAACTCTTCAGAGCCAAGTACTGAGTAGTGCAAGTATATAGAAACAATATTTTTCATGGCACCGCTGCTTTCGTTTACTCTAGCTGCACTATTGAATGTATCTGCTAATTGGTACCTCCTCAGGTAGAGACGTTTTCCACTGTGACAGACAAGAGTTATCAGCAGGCTCCAGGGATTAGTATGATTGTCTAGGCCAGGTCAGAGCTGAATGGAATTCTCTCATCACACTAAAGGGTCAAATCAGTTTTGTTTTCATCTTCAATGTCTGATTCCAGTTTCAACTGAAGCCTTTTATGTTGTAGTTGTAATACAAACTAAATTAGGAGGACAACTAAATTAATCCCTGGCAACTAAATTAGGAGGACTGCGTGTGGGAGCTGGAGAGGCATCAACAGAATAGAAAGCAAAACTGCTTATCTGAAAATGAAATAGCTTTTTTTGAATTTTTCTTTTGCGTGTGTGTTCCTCAAGCACATGGTGGTGTTTTTACTCTCATCCCATTTTATAATTTACCAAAGATTTCTTAGTTTACTTTTATTCAAGATAAGGGTTTCATTTTTCTTATATATTCTTTAAAGTACTTTTCTTTACATGTTTTTCTCCCCTTATTTGAAAATAAGATGTCAAATGTGTTTTAAATAGTAGCTTTTCCCTTTTATTTTTTCATGTCTATGTGGACTACATCTTTCAGAATTCCTTTGAGTTACCTGAGTAAGGTCTTGTGAGAAAAAGACTGATGTGAACACATTGACACAAACTATGCAAATTCTTTTTTGTGTGTGTTCACTAAAAAAAAAAAAAACCTCATAAAAACTGCAACAAAAAATCCACTTGAATTTATGGCCAGGCTCAGTCCTTAGATTCAAAATAAATTTGCATGAACTTGTAATTTCAGACCATTCAGCATCCAGTACAACTAAAACTAAAGAAACTTTCTTTGCCAATTTCTTGTAGAGTAGAACAGGTTTGAAACAATCCACACAGATTCTTGTTCATCCATCTAGGTGCATTATCAAGTGGAGAAGTATGTACATTTTTTGAAATCTATTGAGTTTCTGTTTTGTTTCTGTTGTAAATGTACAGACATTTCTTTAAGTCATGGTGTAATTTTAGTGCATCTGCTTTGGACTGTCTTTCTTGTGACCCTCAAATAGATTTATGGATAGCACTGATAGACACTAATTCTTAACACAATGATTTTCATTTGCTGTGCTGTGACACAAATGACAGAGTGCCCATTTCCTTCTCACTGACCTCTGCAGCTGCCTTGCCTCTTGCTTTATCTGAGCTGGTAATTAGTAACTGCAGGGTAGAACCTGGCCCCAGCATTTGAACTGTCCCTTTACTTTGGGAGTGCTTCTACTCCATTTCAGGACAGTTAATCCATCTGATTATTGACCCAGTTAATAGTAAGTAGACTCAGCTGACCACTGGCTGTACCCTGAAAAGTATTACAGACATTTTTACAGTCAGGAACAACGGCCAGGAGATCTAAGGAGCTGTCAAGAGCCCTTCTGTTTGTGTCAGAGATAGTTAATCCATTAACTGGCCAGGACAAACTGCCAGTCTGTTTCAGGATGGTGATGAACAGCTGACCATAGCCTTCAATGAAAGTGATTTGACTACCTGTTTGTCTTTGCCTAGAAATAATTACAATGAGTTACAGCTACTGACTGTGTAGGTTATTGTGCTTCAGCTGCTATTTCTGTCTCTCTTACTGGGAAATTCCCATCCTGTGTGCCCAAGGCTGATATTCTGGATGTGTGTCTCTATATGCATAACTTAGAAGGTCTCTGGGGGTCTCCCCATCCCTATCATCAGCCATGGTACTCTAATGACCCTAAAACTCGAGTTTTAGCACGTACTGGTGTGATGTTTAAATAGATGGGATGTTGTAGCTGCAGGCAGAATAACTTTTGTAAGCAGCTCCAGACAGCCGGGTGAGCAGCGTGGCTTTGTTTAAAAAGAGAAAACACAGCATCACACCGCATCCCTTAAACTCGCAGGGAGTAACAGGGCATCCTCACGGGCCATGCCAGAGCCTGCCTGCCAGGGACAGCGACTGAACCATCCCACAGCCCCTCACTCTGTCAAGGCGCATCTCACTCCAGCCCGTGGTGTTTGGCAGCAGCGCCCCCAGCCCCGGGCAGACGGAGCTCCCCAGAGGGAGCATTCCCGCCGCTCCTCCCCGGGGATCGCTGCGTGCTGCCGGAGCCGGCTCCACACCGAGCTGCGGCAGCTCAGCAATCCATGCCCGACAGGCAGATATCAGCTCGCAGCCCTCCCTGTGCAGCCCCACACCACACCCCTCCGACGCGGATCGCTAGGGGAGGATCACACTCAGCTCTGATTCAGGAATTCCCTCTTTCTTCAAGAGCTGTTGCTAGGAGTTGGGTGAGTACTTTGCAACAGACTTTCGGTTTTAACGGAGTAATTCTTTTCCCTTTAGCTGCCGAAAGCAGTCTCGGCTGGTGGCTTTTCGTTACGTGCAGTAGTCAGATGTTTAGATTCAAAGTCCAGCAGAGTGCTGCAAAAAGGGAGAGACTTCTTTTCCTCTGCAGATTTGAAACAGCAGGACAATGAATATACTTGCACGATTAATACAACTAACATTTGGTTGCCATAATCTCAGTCTCAGGTACTTTAAGCTCTAAATCAGTTCTTGGAAAGGAAGCTGTCTTAAAGCTGAATAAGTTAATTCTGATCAATAGCTGGAGTTTGAAGAAAAGCTCTTGCTTTTTTACAGTGGATGCAAGAGAGGCTCGATTCAAGCAGAGTGGTCTGCCAGGCTGTTTCAAATCAGCCTGAGGCAACTAACTTCTGAAGCAATTCATGTTTTGAGAAGAACAGGAAGATTTTAGGAGAATCAAATTAAGCTGTTAAGACAGAAGCCAATTTCACTCACTGTATATTTGAAATGTACCAGAAACTAGTGAATGAGTCGTCCAGTTGTTTCAGTATAACAAACACATTCTGCACTCCAAAAAACCAGAATGTTTTTGGTGACTTCTGTAATATTTTACTTAGAACAATTGATGTAAACTTCATTTTTAGTAACTTTGTAAAACAAAGAAGTGATTCTAGCCTGTATTTTGAAATATTGCTATAATTGGCTAATATGTTTTTAAAAAATGCAATTTTAATGAAGAAAAAGCCCATAACAATGGGAAATTAGAGGTAGGGAGAAAAACAGCAATTTGTTTGGGGGGAGGAGTGTATGGATGGTCAGTCTGACTCAGTGCTCCAGGAATTAGCCATGAAAGTGTCATGGGAAACATGTAAAGATATAAACCTTCCTTCCTGAGTGTCTTATGGGCAGACACAGGAAATGCAGCTGTCAGTGCAGATAGGGACAGCAAGGGCGTGCTGGAGGAATTGCCAGGCACCTACTTGGGCAAAGCTGTCAGCCTTTGCCCTTTGGAACCTTCTGCCCATGATTTAATTTCACTGGGAGACATTTATTACTGTCTGCGAAGGCAGCAAGTATCTGTATCCATGACAGATTCCTCTGAATTATTCTTTAAGCTGAATTTCAGAATTATGATCAAGTTTACTTTTGAGGTAGTGTACGCAGAACAGTGCTGAGGAGGTAAAGGTGATTAAAGCACATCCTGCTCTGGCCTTTTCTCCTGTCAGATAATGCCCCAAGTGAAATGGTTCATTAAAAAGCAGCCATGGGGCCAATTGCTTGATGAATCCATTTATTTGAAAATTTTATGACTTTTATGCCAGAGGGTCACAGAGTGCCCTTTAAATTGCCTTTCAGTAATCTGTGTGTTTGTCCTCCCATTGTACATTACCAAGTTTGTAATTTTTGGATTTTAAAGCATTTCAGCTCTCTGGTGTAGCTATGTGACATTTAAGGAGCATTAACTTTTTAGTGCAGTGCCCACTAATATTGCTCATGAAAACTTAATTGTTATTCATCTAGTAATATTCTAAATGCTGAATTAGAGTTTTATGTTTCTGACTCAGGACAGATAGAAATTTAATGACATTGAGTTTATCTATCTCTAATCTCATTGGAGAGTAACTTTGAAAGCCCAGTGGTAAAACTTTGACTCTTTGGTGTCTATTTTAGATCTAAAGGGAAGTGAGGGACAGCATTTAAAAAGGAGGCAGTTTTCTGGGAAGAGGAAATGTCAATAAATAGGAGGAAAAGTGATCTTAGAAACAAGCAAGGGTGTAAAAGAAGGAGCATCCTAGCAGACTCAGAACGTGTCCAGATCCACAGTTAGAGAAGGAGAATTCCTCAGCTCCAGTTCTACCTGCAAGGACTGTCTGTTTCTCAAATAACTCTTCCAAGTGCATAAACAGAAGTAGACACTGGTTACCCAGGTGTTCACCTGCATGGGGACACTGATATTCTTTATGCTATTCTGATACTGTGCATCTTGGATCACTTTTAGGGCACAGAACATAGACTTTTCCCGCTGATATATCAGTGGGATTAGGATTGTTTGTGGAAAAAAACCAATCTCCTCTGGGGAAAAAAATATCATTACACAATCTTTCACATTCTGGAAAATTGCTTTAATATCTACATTTACTTTAAAAAGGTGATTCTGGCAGTAATTTTAGCTTGCATTGTAAAATAAGGTGGTATCTGCTTTAAGGGCTTTTTTACTTTCATGATTTTGTTGTCATTCAGTTCATTCTGAGAATGTCTGCCAGAAGGACTCAAAGCATTTGCATAGGAAAAAGAAAATAAATTCAAAATTAAAAAAAGGAATATTAGTAGAACTTAGTAGCATTGAGTTTTACATGACTGTCATATCTCAACTGTTGAGCAAAGTGTTTAAAATCTGTCAAATTCCATTAGTTACTGGTGTTGTTTGTTTGGGCTGCATTCTGAACACACATTTTCCCTCTAGAGAATCAGGAGAGGCTGATGGGCTCTTACCTATCTGTAGTTGTTCTTCACACTGAAACCAGAGAAAACTGTCTTTAAGAACAGGGACAAATTACTCACTTCTCTGTTTGTCTTATGAAACCAGTTTAACTTTACAATGGGGACAGAATGAAGCAAAACCATATGGAGAATTGTATAATTCCTTTCCCCTCATAGTTACTTCACAGCAAAATAGATTTATTTTAATCCTTTTCATTTTCTCTCACAACTCTGTTCAGTTTCTTAATTACTTCCTGTGCTGTTAATACAGATATTTATTTCTCATCTTTAGTATTGCTGCCACCTTCCCTGATGAATAACTGAGTCAAGCTCTGAATCAGGTAATTAGATTTACAGTTTAGTAAGAAATTAAAACTAGGCTTGCTGTAGGGTATGAGTAGTATCACAAGAAAGTTCAATTTTCTTTCAGAAAATTGAACCTTCCTTCAGAAAACAAAGCATTCCAAGAGAACTAATTTTAATGTAGCTACATTGAAAAGAGTAGTTGCAACAAGTAAGTTAGAAGTACAGATTTTATGTAAAGGAAGTGCTCAATTGGTGTTGTTTTTATGAACTTCAAGAAAATATTGGCATTTGCTTTGTGTCCAGAGGAGCTGGCACTGTGGGAGATGAAGGGAATACAATCCTTTTTTCCTATGGCATTGTTATTTCATGTTGGTTTAAAGTGGCTGTAGGATGATAATCTGAGGCAGTCTGAGTCCTGGGCGATTCCCACGTAAGGCAGTTTCAGCATTTCTAACCTTTGTGACCATCACAAATCCACAGCAGGAAAAGTGGCTGTGGTGACTGCAGCTGGGAAGACAGACCAGGTGAGCTCAACTTGCCAGACAGATCAGGGAAATTTGTGTTTTGAACCTCTGTATGTGTGAAAATGTGATTGATGTGATGGTGAGGTTACAAAAGGTGAATGGGTGTGACCAAAGCCAGTCACAAGAGGCATCACTGGGGCAGCAGTTTCCTCCTGTGCCTGCCTGTGGAATTTTCAGCGCCTGAGCGCGTGCAAATGGGAAATTACACACCACTGGATTACCTATGTATAATATAGTGCTGAAATTCCTCTCTCCCCGCTAGAAAAGCAGGTTGTGCTAAGTTAATTGACATCTAAATTCACTTCTGTTTATCAATAAACCCAGCTAAGTCTTGAACACATGGGCTGGACTTTTCCAGTCCAAACTGCTAGGAAAAAAACTTTATAGCACTTAGGTGTAACTAATATTGCTGCTTGTTTGTTTTGCTAGTGGATCCTGTGCTCTGGAGTGGTTTTTATTAGGATACTGAAAGCATTCCCTGTTTGAAAATAAGATCAGATGGCCAATATTTTTGCTACCAATGGGTAGTTTATGTCTGAGCAGTTCAGGCCTGAGTGTAGTGGGGTTTTTTGTTTATTAAGATTTATGAAATTATGTAAACAAGTTATTCACTTTATTCCACATGTAAAAATATTTTGATAGGTGCAAAAGATTTCTTTTCCCTGTTGAAAGCTATATCAACATGAAAATGAGATAGTTATGTGATTTGCTGCAGACAGACCCAGTGGTCCTGTGAAAAGTGCAGTTATTTTAATAAATCAGTCTTAATTTCAGAAGTTGTAATTTGCTTTGACTCTTGCATCAGGTGCTTGGTGAGGGAGTTAGGAAAATTGTTTGGAGCCTTCTGCAGCCGTGGCTTACTGTCACTGCAGCTCTAGCTGATTATATCCAGTTCCCTGCTCTTGGGTCATGGGTACCATGGATGGGACACCTGACTGAGCCAGGCAAGGAGGAGAACTCAGGGGAGGAGGAGTTTAGGGTCTGGAGCTGTGTCACACCAGAAGGTGAGTGGAGACAGGATGGTAGATGTACTTAGTGCCAGATGTGAACACACCAGCAGAAGGGAAAAATAGGCCCTGGACCTAAGCTGGGAAAATGGAAAACAGTTTTAAAGCAAGAGTGAAAGAAGCTAACAAGGAAAATGAAAAAGCAAGACATCCACAGGCATATAAGAAAGAAGGGACTTCTTGTGGTGGGTTTATTAATTAACTTATTTTTTTGTATTTCCATTTTAAAATATGACAAGGTTTTTACTTTCAATTATTTTATCACGTGTTCTTGAAAAGCAGCATTTATAACCTTCATAAAACCAGACGGAAGGTGGGAATTTAAATCTGAATCAGTGACATCAGGTTATACATCTTTTTAGCATAAAAGCTAATAAAAACATTAGCTTTTTCCAAATTTTCTCCATAGTTCCCAGTTTTCACTTCACTTTCCAGTTCTCACTAGGTAATTTCAGAGACTGGAATAGTGCAGCAGCAAAGCATTATGCTAAATGGTGAAAGGTAGGTAACCAACCGCAATTCTCTTTCATGATAAGAAGGAATTTGAAGTTGTTGGAGGAAGCAGATGGAGTCCCTGGTGCCAGGACTGACACAGGCTGAAGGCTGCCACAGCAGGGCACAGAAAAAAGGAAATAATTTGAGATGGGAGTGGGATTTCCATAGGTTTGCTTTCAGTCAGTAATGTTTGCATGCTCATGATTCACAGTGCACTGCCTGAATTTATCAAGCTGCTGTGCCAGCACAAGGCTCTGGTCGCAGTCACTTTAATTGACAGCTCATCGCTGACTCAGGTGCCACCATCAGAACAGAGGTGGTGGAATTCCTGCTCACTCCACTCTTCATATTTACAGCTGAGGGAATGAGAAAACAGCTCCAGACCAGCACATGTAATAAAGTAATATTAAAGGGAACACTGACTCTGCCAGCTGGGAGACAATGCTGCAGATAAGACTAATGAAACCTGTGTCACACGAGTCCTAGGAGGCAGAGAAAGATATCACAATGCCTCTGAACTGCAGTGAACTGAAAAGGTCTGCTTTTATATCAGAAGTGCTATAATCCTGTCTAGTTAGGCCTTGTAATCCTTCATTTTCGGCTGTGCTAAAATGGACCTCTGGCCATGCACATCCAACCTTCTGCTATTAATTCCTCTATTTAATTACATCCTCTGCCTTTTTGTGTGTGTGTGTTTTTGTTTCCTGGGCTGTCAGTGTGAATGAGTCACTTTTACCATCATTGCAATGTCACTTTAGGCCTTTTTCTAAGGATGTCTTTTTTTGGCTACTATGGGAAATGCTAGTTTTATTTTTCTTTTTCCAGTTAGCATGTTAGAGATAAATGCCACACTGGAAAAAAAAAAAAAAAGTTTGTGACTAAACATTCAGGGAACTACAGAAATTGGTGTTGAAGAGACTGCGTGATTAAAAAAAAAAAAAAAAAGTCCTGTCTCCAAAGGCTGCAATGAACAAGATGCTGGGTTTTATACTTTTCTAGTTTTGGTAATAAACATCTTGAGATCTTCCTTCTATTTTTGTTTTGGGTGTCAGGAGGAAAAAGTCTTGGCTATAAGGCCAGGTAGTGAGGATTTGTTACTGGGAGCTTCCTTGACTGCTTGTGGTCTGCCTTGGGTACCTGTGTTTCAGCCTGAGGGAAGCTAATGGCACTAAATGAAAGCGTTTAATTAAATCAGTAAATAAATCAGTGCCAATTATTATCCACAGACCTTTGATCTCCTTTGCCAAATAAAATTCTTGTCTGTTATAAAATGTCTCATTAAAAGGTGAGGGAGTTTGGGAGCAGTAGAATGCCAGTTCCTAAGGAATTGTCTGTATGAAGTATACACTAATGACATGATGATGTAGAATATTAATGCTGGACTGATGCCTAGCTGTCCTAACCTAGAATCCTTCTGAAGGAAAAGGCTTTATTTACTCTCAGAAGTTTTCAGAATGTGGCTGAAATAATCAGACAGTTAAACATGACCTGTTTAAAATTGAAACATTTCCTATTTTTCTCACGACACACCGTCTTTCACCATTGTGTGCATTTGACATTTTACTAGCCAAATATCATAGTTTAAGTATTTTGAATTTTGCACTCCGTACAAATACAACAACAACCAAAAAAATATCAGAGTGCTTAAAAAAAAAATACCAGTATCATAAGAGGCTTACAGCTTTAAAGTTCTGTTACTGGACAGCTGAACATCCAGTCAGAAAACCTGGACTTTTTCTAGAGGGTTTGGGTTTTAATTGAAAATCCAGTGCCAAGTACGCTTTGATCTGGGATTTCATTCTTCCTTCAGGAATAATAAGAAATAATTAGACTACGGAAGGATTTAAGCCTTTTATGACCAAAACCTTCGCCCCACTCATCCCACCTCCACCCAAAGCTGACCCAATGTTCTGGGACTGTGTGACCTCCTGGGAAGGGCAGCAGGAAGATGAAGGAGGTTGTGTTTGCTCAGGAGGCCTTGCAGCAAGGCAGATATGCTGCTGCACAGCCTGCATTGTTCCCGTTGGGAACTGGCCCAAGCATGGGGATGCCCAGCTTTTGACACGCTTTTGACCCTGCCTTTGAAGGGAAATGTAGGAGTTGAGTGGAAGGATAGAAACACTGTATCCTGGGAAGGGTTTTGTTCTCTGTACAAATGCAGTAATTTGTCCTCATAAACACACAGTGACAGCGCTGGATGGAAGCGCACGATACACAGAATTCTATTTCCAAATGGAAAAAAAAATATAGGAACTTATTAGGCATTTCCATTTCTGCCTGAATGCCTGTGTTCTTGGGGAAAAGCTTTTGAGAATATGGGATAACTCACTAAAAACCGATTACTAAATTTTGCAATCTAAATCTATACTCTGTGGATTCCTGGAAGAAGGAACCAAAGCTTCACCTTTAGTGATAAAAACCCAAATTCAAATAGAGTTTTGCTGAACCAGTGAGAGTTTTGATGGTATGTTTCGAAAAACTCAAGCATGGAGAATGAGAAATGAGGGCTCAGGGACAAACATGGAATTAATCCATGTGGATAATTAGCAAGTTCCTTTATGAAGAGCCACAATTGCGCCAATGATTACTTCTAAGGAAAACAATTTGCTAGAAATTTCTCTTTCCCATGTAATTCAAAAACTATAAATGTATTTTGTAATTTTTTATTCCAGTGACTTCACTGGAACCAGGCAGTTTGAAAGTTATTTCTTTATATCTAAGTATCCAATCTGAATATTTGATGGTATTTTTGCTTTAAGTGAGCCTAGACAATGTCAAATGATCACCAATTTTTTTATATTTTAATGCTAATTGTCTGTGCAGTTCTTTGATTTTTTTGTATTAATGTTTCTCTCCATATCATCTTTATTAGTTGTGGATTGATTTTAATTTCAGCTGATGTCAAACTAACATCACAAATCAGACGTCTCTCAAATCACAAAGACAGACTTGGACAACTTCAGGTTGCCATGTACAGAGTTACTGTCTATTTTGTATTACAAAACATTGTATATAAAGGATTGTAAAACTGGAGTTCCAGTTAGAATTATGATAAAGGATGCTATTTCTATTTCTTTGAAAAATACTCTAGCTCTTGCTCATTTTTTCCATTTAGGGATATTTCAAAACTTGTGCATTGGTTTCTAATCCAAGAGAAGTTGTTCCATCTCTGCTAGAAAGCAATAATTTCCAAATCTGTTTGCAGAGCTAAAGAATAGTATTTGGGGAAAGATTTTAAAATCATGATTAAAAGCACAAAATGAGATCTGTATTAGTTTGCACAATGTTTTGCCAAACTGTATGTGGATAAGGCTTTTTAATTTGTTCTTGTGGAAGTTAGGCTTAATAATTGAGTCTAGAAGGAATCAAAGACATGCAATTTTTTGTTTGTTTTGGCAAGAACACATTATGATGTGGAATTTACCATGGTCATATTTTCTGGCTAAAAAAGAAATTCCTTTCAAACCAAAACTTTCATTCCATTATTAAAAAAAAAATCAAAAAGGAAGAACTCTCAGTAGTTTTCCCTACGTTATATACTGAAGCCTTCTAAAGGGCACTATCAAGTTAAAAAATTACCTAAATAGTTAGTGCTGCTTATGATTTCACCAAGAAATTTATTTTTAAGACTTAATTTCCTTTTTATTATATGCTGCAAGCTGGGAAAACACTGAGTATGCAGAGGAAAAAATTGCGAAGTTTTCTAGAGAGAAATGAGAATTGTGGCTCTGATTTGGTGAAGACCATGGTGTCTTCACAGGCATGTAAGCAAAAACACTCAAGACCAAAGAGTGTCTGAAGGTTAGAAACTTCCTAGCCCTTAGATTTTAAGTTTTATTTACTTAATATTAATTAACATAGCAAAAAGAAATTTAGTACTGTACTTTAAGAGAAGAGGGTAGGGAACTCCCTTCTATTCCCTATCATGAATAGGGAATTGATCTGTTGGTAACAAAGAAGACATTGGGTCTATTTTCTAATTAAAATCCAGAGATCCTTAAGGAATTTTTAGTTAGTTGGAAAATATGTGTTTCTAAAAAAGTTAAAGCAAAAGTTTTCTGAAGTTAATTTCATGTGTGCGTGCATAACCTCATCTTTAGCAACCTCAGCATGACAGCTGCCATGGAATAAAAGTGTTTTTCTTTTGTCAATGATTGCACTGCTTCAAAGTGAAAAATAATAGCTCTGAACTTAAGTCCAGAGGTGAAGTTCTCAGTATTTAAGAGATGTACAAGATAGAAAATCCTGCTTAAGGCACTGAAGCCTGTACTGCAAAAAGTTCACTGATTCCTCTGAAATGGTATTTAGTAATTTGGGAGCTTGCTAATTATAAAATGATTAAACATTTGTTTGAAGATGTTGTGGTAATGAATCTAGGTTCTGTAGATGGAGTAAAACTTGGAACGACTTGACTTGGCAAGCCACGCTAATTGTGCAGTTAGCATTAGGACATTAAAAGTACCAAGTGTTATATTTTCTGTCATGATGTGTTCCAGGAGGTGATTTCAGCTGGGGTTTAGATTGAAAGCAGTAGCAGTGCCTCTAACCTGGACTGGAGCTGGGACAGGAGACTTGCAATCCTTGTCTTGTGTTTCATTGTGCTGACAAGAGGTTTAGACTAAAAGAGCTCACATTATCTCCAAAGCTCCCAGTTTGTCTGTCTGCCCACAGGGCTGTGCTCTGCCCGGCTACTAACTTTTGCAGAATGCTCAAGGAATCTGACTGAGTTTGTCAATTCTCACTTTTATGTTACACAGGAGAAATGAAGGGAAGAAGGAAGGGACGTTCCTCACCTTCACCCTTGATCTTGCTGCTCTTCTGTATCGCCGGGCATGCAACTGCTGAGCTGGATGGCAGCAAAGAAGAGCATGTTGTGGGTAAGAGATCCTAGAAAACTCCTAAAACTCAGCCAACAAAACCCAAACACTCAAACAACAATGCCCGCTATGTTAAAGTGCACTACAGATGTAGTTCTGTACTTGAGAACTTTTGTGGGAAACGTTTGAAATTGGTACTAAGTTAAAAATGGTGTCTAACTAGGAGGGATGCTTATAATTATCTATTAAGCTTTAGCAAAATTGCCTTCTGCTGGGGCTTCTGTTTACCAAGCTTTTTGGAACATCTAATCCTAATCAAACACTGGGTTAGATGTCAAGATGATTCCTTTAAAGCTCTGCTTTAAAGCTTTTCCTTTAGCAGCATGGAAAAGTTCAACGTTCAGGCAAGGAAACATAGAGCTGGTTACTCAGGCTTTATTTCCTCACATAGAAAAAGCAAAAATATGATTAATACCATTGTAGATTGATGTTGCTCTGTTCCATGCACAGATCTCTTGAGTCACAGTTAATTTGCAAAGTTGGATTTAAAGATGATACAATTACTGTCCTGGTAGTTTTCCTGGGCCTTAACGAAGGTCTTTGTATTGCCCAAGGGATTTGATATCACTGAATAAATAAAGGAGTTGGACTTGATCCTTGTTAATGCCTTCCAACTCTGGATATTCTACAATTCTATGACTGAAAACTCACCAGTCGAAAATTTTTGCTAGAAAAGCAGTGTGACTGTTAGAAATGGGGAGGTTCTTGATTTTTCACCATGGTAAGATCATTGTTTACTTCACTGAAATGAAGATCTAGCAGAATTCTAGACTGGATATCATTGTGAAGGATATTTCAATTTCTTCCCAAACAATTCTGAGAAAGATGAGGGAAACATACTCTGCTGGGGCCACACTAAAATATTCCTTTTTCCTTTGAGGAAGTGACTTGAAATTGTGATCACTTCTCTAAGCTGCAGAGGATTCTGGAGTGGATGCTTTTGTTTGATAAGTCTGATTTTGAAGCGCAAATGAAAGTGAAGCTAAGGGGAACCTTTTTTGCTATTTTTTGTCCTATTTCCATCCAGATTATTTCTCTCTATCAGACTTTTGCAGCAGTGTACTTTGAGCCAGAAATAGTAGTTGTGCACAGTCATGGCTATACTAAGATAGGACCGTGTCACAATTCGTCACTACAATTTAATGTATGTGCTGTTCCAGGTGAAGTGTATGACTAGAATGGCTGTGTAGTAAAGACTGGTTCATGCAGAACAAACTTGCTTCTTTTAAACTCTGAAGTACAAAAATGCCCTTTTTGTTTGAGGGCAAAGCCACATTTATCTTTGCCCCACAGCTCTTAGTGCTGTATAAATTCTTAGCCAAGCTTGCAGGTCATGAAGGCCAAACCAGCTTGCACATTTTGTCACCATAACAAGAAATCTGATGGCTTAATTTTTTTTCCTCTATTTTCTTTGTTTACAAAAGAAAATAAGTAAATAATCTCAAGGAAATTAAATAGTCATTTTACTGGGGATTATTTTTTAAATGGTTATTTTGCAACTGGTTACTTAGGATTATGTGACCACTAACTGATTCAGCAAGAGAAACAATAACTTCTGGCTTTAATTCTGAAGTAAAAACCCATCAGATGTGAGGCTTAGATATTAAACTAGGATCCTGTTTTTGTGACTACTGAGGACTCAGTTGTAGTGTTTATAATAAAAAAGCTTTTGCTGTACTGTTTTCACTAAATATTTAGATTGTTGTTAATTAAAATTTTATTTGTGGTTTCTCAAGATTTAACTTCTGGACTCAGACTTTACATGTCGAAATTTTGTGGGCTGCAAAATCATTGATAACGTTTGTTTTTGATGTTAGATTATTATAAAGCAATGACATTTTACCCCAGCGTTCCATAAATTTCAGGTATTAAAGGATAAAATTAATTCTGTGCATCCATTGTTTTTAATGTCATACTTCTGGATCACATTGAGTATAAGTCCTTTGTGAATTTAAGAAGTGGGCTTTTGTCTATTTTAATCGCAGTAATAATCAAGATTGCAGGGTCAAGCCCAATGTAATAAAAATATTTTTAATTTGTTCTCTTCCAGCAAAATCTGTCATTTTTTCCATCAATAGATAAGTGTAATAACAAAAATGAAAGGTATAAAAATAACCAGGCTATGCATATTGTTCATCAATCCCTTATGTGGTAGGCAGCACTATAGCTGATGTTCCAAAGCCTGAAGAAAATGACTCACAAATTGAATGTGCTTTTTATTCATATGTGAAAGCTTGCCAAGAATAAATGTGCCTGCCTATAATAAAATGTAGGAAACACAGGGTAGGAAGAGCACTGAACAGTGTGTGGGTGGGAAGCTGTCAAACTGGCAAAGATGGAGAGAAAAGAAACAGCTATTCATTAGTGACAAGGTGCTTAGTATTGATACCACTTATCAAAGGGAGACATTGCCAAGGAAGGCTGGAAAGATGACAGCATATCTTTATAATTAAGGATTACCATGGAAATTCTTATAAAGTTAAGAACACATAACCTAAGCAAACTAAAACAAAGTATTTTTACATAAAAATTCAGAAGTACTTGTGATCCTTATTCTCCCAATTCATATCTCTCTCTCTGTTCTGCAAAGCAGCTCCTCCATAACGCTTACCTTTCATATTTATTGTGCTTCAGGTGCAGTATAGAAATCAGTTCATTTTCCTAATTACAGGGAAGTCTTTTTATCAAGCAGCCCTGCAGATTATCCACAAGAGTCTGAAATCCAAATTAGAGTCTTTTGTTATGCCTACATCCAGAGGAAAGGTATTGTTTTCACTGGTACTAATGTAAGAGGATTAGAGGCATCATTCACTACTGCTTTTGTAGCACTGCCCTGCTTTCTAGTGAAGTGATAGCAGAGCCTTGCCTGGATCACCTGTGCTCAGGTGAGCATCAGGGCTGGCTGCAGCTTTTTGGAGCTCTCTCGGTGAAATGGCTGCACTGAAATCAGGAGTGGTGTCCCCTTGAGTGGCAAAAGTTGCTGTGAGAGTGACAAAAAAGATGGGAATGGCTGTGCTGTATACAGGAACAGCTCTGGCCCCATCTTGTTTGACAGCGGCAAAAAGCAGGAAGGATGAAGGATTGGAGGAAGAAAGGAATGACAAAAAATACCTGCAAGGAGCTCATTCTCATTGTCTAGCCATTTCATGGGCTTTACTTTGGGTCTTAACACAGACTGGGGAGTGCAGGGACTGTTAAACAGAGCAATGGGTGTTTAGGGCTCACGCAGCTCATGCAAGGGAGCCATTACATTAAAACGTTTAAAAAAAGGGAGAAGACATTTTGCTGGGTTTTTTCCAGTTTTAGTATGGGAAATAATAACTTCTGTGTGACAGTGAACATCAGCTGTAATCATTATTTAATGTAGTTATAACAAAACGTCTTGGTCTAGGCTAGTACAGTCCTACAATTATACCGTAATTCTTTATATATTTGGACCACGTGTCTAAATTGGATGAGTAATAAATATCCAACAGAACTAGATCTAACATGGGAGCCTAAATTATTTTTTGAAAATTACGCATGCAATGCGCTATACTTAAGGAGAATTAATGCAATCATAAATACAAGATGGAATATTAATGTTGAAGCACCTGTGTAACAAGGTTCTATTTGCTATAAGTCAATGGAAGTTACAGTGCATTACAAAATTAATTCAATGTTAAAGTGATTAGTATTAAAATCAATGTCAAAAGGCAAGTTATTTTGTGTTGGATTTAGGAAAGAAACAAAGGATAATTATTCCACTCTATTTCCACTAGTAATGTGTCAGGTAGGGGATTATATTCAACTCTCAGCAGCACATTTTACCAGGAATCCAGACCAATAGGAATCATCCAAACAAGAGTTATGAGAGGATTAGAAAGCAAGGCCAACAAAAAGATGAGAAGAAAGGAGTTTATTTAGCATGGAGATAATTAAGAGGAGATAAAATCTTCCAATTAAAAGAGAATAGGCAGAGGTTTGGGCTACTGAGCTGATGCTGTGAGTGCAGGGCAGCTGCTGCACCACCAAGGCTTCAAGCAGCCAGGGAAGCCACTGAACTTGGAGAGCCCAAAATCAAGCTGGAGAGTATAGGAAAAAACCTTCTCTCCTGCAGCAGCCTTGAATTGCAAGACACAGATGGTGAATTGGAAAGTTGAAACTGATTTACCACATGTGTATATATATGGGTTTAAATTATTTTGTCTATGCATGAAGTAAAAATTATTTAGTATATAATGAAGAATATTTAGGCAGCATATTACAAAATAAAGGGCTGTCTTACAAGGAGAGTAGTGAAATCCTAGAACTGACTGCTTAAGATTGCTTGGAATTTTACTTCACTTGGATGAGAAACTCCATTAACATTCATTCAAGTGTTATCTTCCTCTGTTTCTGCTGAGGAATTTTCCCTGACTTTCCTGACAGACATCTTCACTAAATGTCATATCCTATGCCTTTAACACCTAAAATGTAATAACACTTTGTCCCAGTGTTCAAGAGCAGAGGATGAGTCCTTATACTAAGAATTAATTTTGTCAAGGTATATTCCACAAGTGAAACAAGTACAGGCAGATATGTGTCTGTGGGCAAACACTCCCGCTTGCCTTCTCATCTGCTGCTCTAATCTGAGAAGGAAAGCTAATTTTATATCATCTGTGTGAGTTAAGTGCTCCCAGGTGTAAAATAATGGGGAAGAATTCTTTCACTGTTTCCAGACAGAAGAATGATTCAGTTCCGACCAATCCCTTGGAGAGCTCTTTCTTCAGAGTCACTTGGTTACTGTTTGGACTTGGAGGGTTTGGCCCCTGGGGCTTTGACAGGGTACAGATTTTACTCAAACTATGGCAGCTTTCTAGCATTCCTAGGAAACTGAGTGATTGCCAAGAAGTGTGACACAGTTAGTCATTATGTTCTCAGCAGATGTCAGGACATCTGACAGTGGTTAGCAGCATCCCTGTGACTGCAGGGGAAAGGCCTTAGGAGGTAACCAAAACAATGATTTTGCTCCATGGGTCTGGTGGGAAGTGGGCTAGGAGCGGAGAGCAGGAAGTTCCCAGGATGAACTCTGCTAAGCCATTTGTTCATCCCCTTGGTGTAGTTTTGCAACAATGCCTGCATGCTGTTTTTGTTTGGACAGCCCACCACACTGGGGTGGTGCAATGCAGCAAGAAAATGAGCTGACATAACTGTGTGTCTGAAATTTCGGTGGTTAGGAAACCTGGTCAGTTTTCACAACCTCTTGTAGACTGAACTGGGTCACTGGCAGGGGTCACAGAGGGGATCTCATTTCTGGGTGCCAAGAAAATGACGTGTTCATAAACCAGCTGCCAGCCCTCACCCTGGCCACATCTGAGTTGGACTGGTTTCTGTGGAGCTCTGAGTGTTTGATTTTAACATTTCAGGAGTGAGTTCATAACTTACTGAAAACTTTGGTGTTTTGAAGGCATTTTTTTCCCTGGTACTGAGCAGGGGAAATCCAAAATTTCATTTTGCAATGCAGGATCCTCTCATCTTTTTAAGCTGAGAATTTTAAAATCCCATCCAAAGGATTCCCAAGCATTTTGGAGAACTTCAGAACCTTTGAAGTCCAACTTGGCATTTATCGTGACTTCTAAATACCAAATCTTTGTGAGCTCAGGAAGACCCAGCTAATGAATTCTGGAATCTTGTTTGGCAAGCTGAGCTTGACAGCAAGTTTACCAAATCTAACATCTCTTATAATTATTAATTTTATTTCATCAATATTTCCTATTGTACGGTCTTGAATAATATTTTCAAATTTATATACCCAGCTTCAAAATCCGAAAATGTATTTTCACCAATATGGCATAAGTCACAAACCATTTTGGGGACTGAATATTTCAATAGAATTTTTAATTAGTCCTTTTTATATGTATTTTAACACCAAATGGTCTACTTTTGGAAAATTTGATTGTGTGTTATGATTGTTCTGCTGGTAGTAGTCACGTAATAGAGGTTGTTCGTTTTTCAAGGACTTAAATGCTATTCTTGAAAAGATTTTAGTGCTGAAATTTGTTTCTTTTCTGTAAGTTTGATAGCTATAATCAAATGGAATAAAATAAGTAAACTTCCATAAAACCTCAGTACTTCTGAGGATTTATCTCAGCTCTTAGAATTTAATTCAAGAATTGTATAATAAGGTCAATTCTAGATGCTAAAATTAGATATCCACAGAGCAGCTGGGTAGTAAGTACACAAGTTCCCTTTTCACCATGTCATAAGCCTGATTTTTGTGGATTCTTTTAATTAACACTGGAAACTTAAACTAGTAATAGTAGGAATCTGTAATGATTATGCGGTCATGTAAACTCTTCTCCTCTTCCTTGTTTTTTTCTCCTTCCTGGTCCACTGCAAAGAGCACAGACAGATATGTTTGCATGTATGTTTGGAGATGTCAATGTTCTAATTAGCTGTAGGAGAATGAATGAAGAACCTTAGGTCTGTTCTGGCTCCTATGGCAAGCCCACAAAGCTCTGCAGAGCTTTCAAAACCCTCTAGGATAAAATACTGTCTTGGAAAAGCAAAACAGAAAAAAGCAAAAAAAAAATGTAGTAAACCATATATTTGTAAGGGAACAGTATCAGGAACTGCATTGTTGGTCAGAATTTCTTTATAGACATTGACAAGGTGAAACTTTGGTAGTGTTCTTCACAATGCCTATGAAAATTTATATGGAACACTCCCTGACCTAATATATATTGAGAGACAGAAATGACACAATTTGAAAGCGTTTTGCCTTGGCTTTCTAGTTGTTTGCTGTTGAAAGCTGTAATGCGAGAACGGCGGGATGAAAGGAAAAGGAGTCCAGTGCCTGTCAGTGGTGCCAGCAGGGTTTGTGTCCCAGAGAAGTGCCATCTGACAGGAGAGGGATGCCCTCTGCAGGCCTCTGGCCATCCCACGCTGCTCCCTGGCAGCTCCTTTCCGAGCCAAGTTCTCAGAGAGCAGTGCATGGAAGAGAGCCCAAGGAAACCTTTCTGCCCTGGTGGTCTTTGTGTCTTTGTGTGTTTTTGTTATTCAGCGTTGCACCCCAGCTCCTGTGACTCAGGCACGCTCCATGACTGTTTAGAGGTTTGTGATGAGGAGTTGAAGTTTATACTGTGAGCTGTTTTGGTGGAAAATTGAAGCCACACGTTTGAATTGATCGAGTGGAATCTGTGTTCCAATGCAGATGATGTTTTTGACATCTGTTCAGTGTGCTGGAAGCTCTGCAGGCGGATGTTGTGCAGTGCCTCCCTAGCAGAGCACAACAAGCAGCCTCATCTGGGAGTTACACCATGCAGTGTGCAGCAAACTAACTCAGATATTCTGCTTCTCCTCTGTGCTCCAGGTGCTGGTTTGCCTCCACTGAAGCTGGTGCACTCCTTCTGTGCCATGAAAGCAGACGAGGGCCCGTGCAAAGCCATCCACATCCGATATTTCTTCAGCATCAAGAGCCGCAAGTGCGAGGTGTTTGAGTATGGTGGATGCCATGGCAATGAGAACAACTTCCTGACGCTGGAGGAATGCCAGGAGAAGTGTGTGCCAAAAGGCCAGTACCCATTCTCTCACCCTCCTACCAAGCCTTCATTTCCAGCTGTTATTTCTCATTCACAAACCACTTGAATTTGGGAAGTAGAAGCCCTCCTCAGTTCCTATTATGACAGAAATACCACTCCTCTAGTTATGTTCCCAAGTAGGTTGTAGTCATCTGAATTATTTTATGTGGTACAAGCAGACATTCAGGGTGTGGAAAGACAGGTAGGTTTTGTAGTGTACCTGTGGAATAGAGGCACCAATGCAAGGAATCTTATTTTCTAGCTAGAACCTTGTTTTGGATGAGTTCTTAAGAGAAATTGATTTTGAGGCTGGGCTAAGCTGTTGGGTAGCAAACAGGTTCTTTATTGCTTTCAGAGTGTCTAACCCAAGTTTTGAACCCAAGTTTTCCTTTACTTGAGAAGCTGATAGAAGTTGCCTAAAATTTTGGCCATCTTCTCTGCTTCAGCATAATTACTGCTACAGTAGAAGATGATTCTCATTAAAAATGCCAGTTATGGCTATTTTTCAACTTTGTTTATTGAAACCTCCTCAGTTAATCATTGGAAAAAAGAAAATGAGACCTAACATATGATACACAGCACAATATGCACCAAGGGTATTGTGAATGCTGGTTTTGCTATTAAAATTCATCCTTGTAATTAAGATTTTCAGCATTGTACGCATTCCTCACACAACTGGATGAAAATTAGACGACTTGTATGTTCTAGGACTAGCACAGACCACTTGCAAGCACAGCAAGTTCTTATAGGTTACAAAAAATACTTCCAAGAAATTTCAGATTAGAAAATTGATTTCAGAACCTCCTATTTGGGTTTTCTGACCAAAGCTGACTGCATAGGTGACAAGGTAATTTAAAGCTTCAGGTTTTGTCTGGCAACAAATGTAAATGTCTCTTACCTATTTTTTCCATCCTTTCCAGAATTTATGTTTATATAGTGTTTATATCAGGCTTTAAATCTGTTACATTGTCTGTTTTTTAGCACGTCTGTATTTCCTGATCAGAATTACTCTGCATCTTGTTGCTAAATTTATTTAGAAATCTCAAAGCAAGTATCTATCTCCCACTGCAGTGTTACAATAATGGCTGGACCTGGTTGCACATTACCCAAAGTAGTATTTCAAGAGTGTTTGTTAGTTTTAATGCCTCTAATTTTATCAATCTACAAATGTTAGTACACCATTTCCATATACCTTGAAAGCATCCCTGGCCTCGATGCCTTTGGTCTTTCCCAAGAGGAGACTTCACACATTTTATTTACTCACCACATATTAACTCAAGATATTATTTACCTTTCAGATCTATTTTTCTGATCTGCTGGTGCAACCATAATTTCTGTTTAGTTAAGTTTTGCTTTTGAATAACTGTATGCTTATAAAGCTCTCTCTATCAGAATGGGAAAAAAAAAACCAAAACACTACAGAGTTTCACTAAGAACAGGTCAAAGTCAAAAATCTTACTCCATTTTTTAAGGGGATGACAATTTTCCAGTGCATTTTACTCTAAGGATTAATTGGAAACTTACCTTTTGATGGTTTCTGGACAGATCCTACTAATAAGTCTCAGAGACCAGAGGTGCTCCAGGGAATAAGTGGGAAGGGTCAGTCATAGCCTTGCTCTATTTTCAGGTGCAATACATGGGTAAACACAGTGGTGATGATATTAAAATAATATTAATTACTAAAATGGCATCCCATCAAGAAAGAGGTATGTGGAAATAACAATTCTTTGAATACTAAATAATATAACCTATCATTTCAAATGAAAAAAAAAAAAAAAGAAAAAGGGTTGACATGAAAAACATTTTTCCCTAAATGCAAGCACACACAAAATTCAGGAACCTCTGTCCTACTTGGATCTGAATTGGATCTTAAGTAAAATCTTCCTGAAGTGGCTGGAAAGAACCTAATGAATTTCTTTTTATGTTGAAGTCTCAGATACTTCCAGAAGTTCAGATTACTATTTTGCTGCTCAATTATCTGTATTTGGTATTTTAGCAATTGGCAAGGATAAAAGCTGTTTACAATACTGTTTCTTCTCCAGACTATACTATTTGTGTTTTTGATTCATCATACCCGAGTTTAAAAAAAATACCAAAGTAAGATAGAATTCAAGTAATAGGTTTTAAAATCTTCCTTACAGACTATTGTATGGGAGCAGATCTCATTTCTGGGCAGAAAATCAAAGAAAGAAGGAATTCATTACAGATCACGAATCTGTTTCTAGTTATGACTCCACCAAGTTTAAAAAGTAAAGTCTTTCACGATAAAAAATTGAAAATTATTGTTTCCTTGAATAGCACTCAGTTTCAGAAAGGCCTGGAGTCTAGGATGTGAATTAGCTGCTCTTTGACACCAGGCTGGCTCTTGGTGGTTTCCAGCTAGTGTTTGGTTTGGGCTTTCAGCAGGACCCACAGCATCTTTACCATGCTTGCAGTGGGGTTATTTGCACCTGCCAGAATCTCATCCAAAACTTGGCACTTCCTGCCACAGGAAATTTGGAGTGCTTGTCCTCAATTTCAGTTTAAAGGCTAAGACAGAGGAATAAAAGAGAAAAGGCTGGGCTGATAGATGCCGAATTTGGAATTAAGTGTCCAAAAGTCATAATCAGGTGTCATGAGTGAAGGTTTATCACATTATTTCTTCCATCTGATGCTGCTGTTTTCACAGAATAAGTTGAGTTGGAAGGGACCCAGTGTTACTTTGATTCTGACACACCTGTTGGATCTGGAACAGATCTTCTACACCAAGTCCTGTACTGTCATGTATTTGGCATAACTCTATAGTATAAAACTGGAAGTTATTAAAAATGAGAAGTGGCTTAGTGTCCCCATCTTTATACTCAGCCCATACATTTTTCTGTGTAAGACTAACAGTGATCCAAGACTCTCCAAGAGCTGGATCTGCTTGGAGGAAGAGGAGAAACAAAGGCTCATGATCTCTGTATTCTCTGAGTGGATAAGAGCAGATAAAATTATTTAGTGTTACATGCAGTGTGCTGCAGACCATCAGGCATAAAGCAAAGTAAACCCTTACATTAATCCCTTTTGCTAACATAATGCAACAAAACCCTGTATAATTCTGTGAATTTTTATTAACTCTAACTCAATCTGTGCAGTATTGTAGTATATAGTTGTATTCATCTTACTTACATTTCCAGTATTTATTACTGTAGGAGATCACTATTTAGTGACTGTAGAAATGAGGACAGTATTGATAAAAATAAGCTCAAGGGCAGCTATCTAATATATGCAAAAATTCACAATAAATAATGCGATCAGTCAAAGTTTTTGATTTTCAATATTGAGCACAACTGCAAGAATAAATGAGCCAACATGAAGGACTTACCAGATCAGGATAACTTGTTAACACTTTGGAATCAATAAGCCACCAGACAAAACTGATTGATGTCAGTACAACAGAGTTGAGAGAGCCCAGCTGCAGGCTGGCCACTCTAAGGCTCTCCAAGACAATGCTCAGATTCAAGATGAGTACTTCTGAATCAGGCTTCCTAGAAATGAGCTGTATTTTTTGTTCCTTGTGCCCAGTGCTCATAACTTCAGGGAATGAAAAAGTACTTTCTAAGGGGAATTTGCCTATGGGTGTCATCGTTTACTGGATATAATCTCAAATGTCACCACTCGCACAAAGACCTTAATTTTCAAGGCCATGAATATAAATTTTAGGCTACTTAAGCTTGCTACTATGAAAATACCTGCTCTGATAAATGGCTCTTGTCATGATGGCAATTCTAATGTCTATTATTTAGAGTGGATCTGCTAAGAAATACACTTTGTTTACAGAAAAGAAACCAACTCAGATGTGGATTTGGATTTTTGACTGAAACCAGAAGCAAAAACCCTGTTGACATGGTACTAGGATTAAGATATTCTAGGCCTGTATAAACTCACAATGAAATTTTCCTTTTCTCTGCCAGAAGAGTGGAGATCACATGCCAAAGTATGATTGCTGATTTTGCCCCGAAGGGGACAGCTGAGTGAGATTAGTGGAACGGCCTGACGTGCGTGTCCGTGTTTAGGTCATGGGTTTAAATGCTGAGGGCCAAGCCTCCTAGTAATAAGAAAAGCTGGAAACCTGTTCAAAGAAATGCTACATCACTCTGAAGTGCGTGCCATGCCTTTCATATTTTTTAAAGGGTAACAGCTGCATTGTCCCAGAGGTGGAAGGAAAAATGTGTCATGACAGAATTTCTACCCAATAGATCTGCTTTGAAAATATAACATCAGCATGTTTCCAGAGACAACTAGGATAGAATTAGGATCCAAAAGGGCAGTAAAGTACAAAACAAGAATTATGAAGCAATGCAAATAAGGTGACTAAGGCAGAGTCCAGAAGCTGCTGGCCACCTTTCTCTCAGCTGTCAAAATATTGTTGGCCTTTCTCAGACATTGCAGGGGCTGCTCTGCCCTTGGACTCCTTTGCAGTTTTATGATTAGACGGTCTCCTACGAGGAGCAGGTTTGTTTTCCATCTCTAAAAAGGAATTTGGGGTTGAATTAAGATACCCACTTTCTCGAGCTGATATGATAAAACCCAGGCTCCTGCATTAAGAATGACAATAACGACTTTGCTGCAGATTGTGCGTGGAGAGAACCATGGAGACAAAATCTCCATCTACAGCCCGCTGAGATATCTGAAATACTTGGCCAGTTGCAGTCAATTAATATCATTAACTGCATGAGGAAATCTTCACTCAGGCCCTAGATGGCAGAGCAGAGGGAATTGGGTAGGATGAGGGAAGTCCTGCTGTCTCCCTCAGCCAGCTCCACAGTATGAGCAGTATTAGTAGCTACAGCAGTCAAGTTCTTAGTCTGCTAATTATTCCTCTTTTGAGGAGTGAGATGGCATGATGTAGGACCCTGGATGCAGTAGCAAGAAGGGCAATTTCCCTGTTCAATTCTAAATTGGCATAATTTGATTTCAGTACTTGCTATGCTGACAAGTTTCCAATACAGCAGGTCTTCCTATACAAGGGAATTGATACTTCAGTTCTCCACAATGAGCTTTTGTACTACTTCCCAAATAAAGAGGAAAAAGAAAAGGAAGAAATTCTGTTTTCTTGCTTCTCATTGCTAAACACACTGGTATCACAGGTGAGACTTGACATGTCTGCTTTTGCTAAATACTTTTATTTTTATTTGTCTTGCAGAATTTCCTCAGAAGATGGCATTAGCAAAAAATAAGAAAGGTAGTTATATTTACATCACAATTTAAGATTCTCTACACAATAAGGAATGTATTTTCTTCTTTTGTTAACTCAGACCAATACATAATTTGTCTTCTAACAAAAACAGCAATGTCAGTTTAAAATTGGTTCTTAGACTGAATCTTCTTCTGTCTTCATCAAAGAATTTGAGGACAGTTGTGGTCACTGAAGATGGTAGCTGCACTCTCTTCTCCACAAAACAAATACATCATTTCTCTTTTTTCTATAAAAAGAGGAACTCAGCACAGATTCAAGCATGGTATAATTAGCCACGACGGGGAGCTCTTATCATGTATTTTGAGAACAAGCTAAATGCTTTGTACTAATGGCTTTTTACTTTTCTAAAAGTAGGGGAAAAATTGCTCTGAAACAGAACTCTTTAAGCATTGTTTGTGGAGAAGCTACCAGAGGTTAGGGCAGATGCCCTAATTGCAAATCAAACAAGGGAGCAAGCTATCCATTCCTGAAGGGACAGACTTTTGACAGAACTTTAAATTCCTGATACCCCGGACTTCCAAAATAGCCAGTGCTAAAGTATTGGGAGACCCTTACTGGAACACTGTTGGTCTGTTGAGAAAACTGATGTTCCTAACAAGAATAATTCACTTTAACACTCAGAGTAGAGCTTGTGAAAACTTACTGTACCCTTCCCCTTTGCACGCTGGAGACTCACCACTGTGGGCAGCCAGAGCTCCACAAACACAGACTTGAGTACACTTTTTCACAAGTCAGCACCTCTTTTTCTGCTTTCTCTCCTGCATCCCTGAATGGGTGTGCACTTATCAACTTGCAGAAAAGCAAACGTTTGCTCATACATTTTGAAATAGACTGTAATCAAATCACCTATCTTTACCGAATGGTATTTGGAATATTTTCATATGAGATGATGGTTTTCTTTTCCTGTTTTCTACTGTCTTTTCTATTCTTAATGTGTTACAAAAAGTCATGATTATATGTGGAAGCTACTAAGGTTGATTTTCCACATATCCTCCAGACTTTGTCTCTACTTCCTTTAAGGGCTGACCCTAATTCCCTGCTTTTAATGACAAATGAGAACACATCCTGTAAAATTCAGCCCATAGCTATCATCAGCATTATTGCACATGTACCATTGCTTCCACTAATGAAGTTTTGAATATTGAGCCTTTAGAGAAAGATGTGGCATTTAGAAGTGGAGTACTGGTTTGTGTGATTAGGATTATTGCCTTCATGAACTCTTTCTTCAAAAGTGGCTATAAAAGTTAGCTATGAGCTCATCTAATTTGGACTTAATTTCATTTGCAAGAACCATTCTAATATAAGACTATTCTAAATTAAAGACATCTTTTTTTAAGAATCTGTCATAATCCTGTAGCCTACTTTGCACACTCTTATTTTTACCTGCCTTCCTTTTTCAATTGATACCTATCTATTAATCCCTTTGTGTTATTTCACAGTATTGTGCAATTTTGGATGAGAGAATTTTTTCTGTAGTTCCTCTTGTCTGTGAGCTCCTAGGAGATGGAACAGATACTCCTGGTGCTGCTCCCTGTCTAGGCACCTGCCTCACCTCTGTTTCCAGCTGGGAGCACAGCACATCCCTTGCACATATTTCTCAAATTTATTTATCTCTGTGGGCTTAGCTTTCTGAATCTGTGCACATCAACAGGTGCTGCCTCTGTGTAGTGAGTCAGGTGAAGCACCTGAACTGTGGATTACACTCACTGGCAGAAAATGACATTTGTAAGGAAGAATCAAAATTAAGCCATTCAGGAATGCTAAAAACAGTTGATTTGGTTGCTTTATTCAAGAATATTTTAGTGATTTAATTTTGCATGTGATCTCTGAAAATTATTTTTTGCTGTTCATGAAGTATTAAAAAAATTGAAATGCAATATATTGCCAATTAATTCTTAGAACAACACTCGTTATGAGCTATTATAATATTTTGTATAAATTGCACATGTGCATCAGTAGCCTTTAAAAATCATCTTGTTCTAGCAATGAATTTGAACATGTGCCTACCTAAAATACGTGTTATAGGAATAACTTCTTTGCAAGTTGATAACCTACTTCTAAAATGCTAGGAATTTCAAAGTAATTTTATATATATATATATATATATATATATATATATATATATATATATATATATTAATGACAGCTGGCTGCACACCATTTTAGTCTCAATATTTTGTGCATTTTCACATCTAAGGAAGGTCTTTGCACCTGCTAGTATTTTCTTATATGATGTTAAGTCGACTTTTCTCAGCAAGTGAGCTCAGACAAGAATCATATTTCAAAAAAACTATTATCAAGAATCTGAGAATTCCTCTGCATATATTTCTGTATTGTTACCACGATTTTAAGCATACTATTTTAAGAAAAAAACTGAATATGGAGAGGAGTTGACTTTTGGGGATTGTCATATGGCTGTGTGTTTTTCTTCCCTGCCAAAAGATGTGATATCATGCTGTGATATTCAGTCAAATTATGCAATATTTATTTGTTAACTTTTCCTTGGTTGATATTGTAGTTACTGATTGCAAACTCAGAGCTGGGACTGAAATATTGTAGGATAGCTGCTCTGTCTCCCTGTTTCTGGTATTCTTTTACAAGGATAAACTGCACTGCTAGATATTTTTTCTATTCTATTTTAAAACTCCTTCCTTTTTTCTTCTGTTTGAGCATTGCTTTGTGTTAACAATGAGAGAAACTTTACTTACAAGGATGTATACTTAAGTGTGAGTGATCCAGCTGAGGTTCAGGTCTCCTTTAAAATCAGAGTAAAAACTAATTTTCAACTAAAAACCTCTATGTTTTGGAATTTTAAACGACTCATTAGATGACATTTTTCAAGATGTAATTTAGTGGCTGCTTAAACAGAGCAATAAATACCCCTATAATGTTCCAGTGTAAATATAAATAATTAAATATAGAATAAAATAAATAATTACTATAATTAAATAATATATTATGATACAATATAGTTATAATTGTATTTACTAATTATTATAACATTTAGTGCATTTAACAGTTTATTCATCTAATTATTCAATTAAATATTATTATAATTAAATCTAGAACAAAAACAAACAAAAAAACAGTAGTTATTTTATAGTTGGCCTTTAGCCCTAAGTCACAGGTTTGTTTTATAAACTTCCTGCAGATCTGCTGTTGTCTTGGGATGCATTTTAGTTCTTTTATTCTCTCACCCTGTTCATCATTCAGCATTGTTTCTAGGACAGCCTGACTTCTGCTTCCACGCCCAAGAGCCCGGGGTCTGCCGAGGGTATTTTACCAGGTACTTCTACAACAAAGAGACAAAATTGTGTGAGAAATTCAAGTATGGTGGGTGCCTAGGAAACCAGAACAACTTCAGGACTTTGGAGGAGTGCCAGAATACCTGCGAAGACAACTGTGAGTTGATGCTTTTAATCACTCTTCATTTTACTCTTGTATAAAAAACTGGTGTGTTTTGAAGGTAGTTTGCATGGAAAAAAGGCAATTTAGGGTGCCCTGAGGTGGCAGTAATTTATATATGAAATTTACAGTAATTATTCATATTTTTAAATGAAAGTACCAAAATGTAAAGTATGGAGTAAAAGATTCATGGGTACAATTTAAGGAATGTTACATGACTCCTACATTTTTACTTTTCTCATGACAGCTAACCTAAAATCTGCCATTTGTTTGGCTGTATAATACCATTAAACACTTGTGTATATTGTTAACACATAGGTCTGCATATACTACTTTCAAACCAAGTCTTGTGAGAGACATCAGATGCCCATATAGGAATTTTTAACTCACTGTGTATTGCTAGCTTCCCACCAAAGATTCCTGTAACACCTGTGTCCCTTGGGAATGACTTGGCTGTGCAGCTTAGGCTACCAAAGCCACTCAGACTGACCACAGATCAGTCATTTGCCTCCTTGTCCTGCTCATTCCAATGAATTGTTCTACATCAGGACATACAGTGACCTTCAGAGCTCCTCTCCCTTCACCAAGCGCCTCATTTTATTCATAATGGGAACGCATTTTCCCACCAAGGGCCTCCAGATCTTTTTATCCTGCTTGTCTCTAGTGGGCCTTTTTCCAGCACTGTTTCATAAGCTGTCATTTTGGCAAGGGGAACTCAAGTTTATTCACACTTAGAGTAGAAAAGACCCACTATATTTCTTTCTAAAGATTGGTTTTTTTTAATTATAAATATAGAGCCATGTGGATTTTCCCTACTTTTGCTGAAGCATTTCTTCCTGGGCTGTGATTCCACTTTTACCTTATAGACTAAAAGCTGCAGAATATTCTTTTTCACGATGTTAGTCTAAAATGACACCTTCATGTAAATGTGCATTAACATCCAAGAAGAGAGGGTTGCCATGGTCTAAATAGATTAAAGCTTTGTATTTTTTGATCTATTGAATCGTTACCGATTTTTGTTTGTTTTTTCTTAGCAGTTTTCGCTTCTTTTTTTTTAAATTTAACAAATTTATTGCCAGCTGTTACAGCTGAAGAGCATCCCAGCCCTGTGAACAGCAGTTCCCCAGCAGCAGAGCATCCCAGCAGTGCGAACAGCAGCTCCCCAGCAGCAGAGCATCCCAGCAGTGTGAACAGCAGCTCCCCAGCACAAGCACCCAGCCAGTCTCCTGGGATTTTTGGTAAGAATTTGTTTTTGCTGTTTAGAATCAAGCCTTTGATGCTCCTTGGTTTATCCACTGATTTTTCCCCATTTATTTGTATGTCACTGGAAATATCTGAGCACAGGGAAGTCATTAACCTTAAAAGTAGTTCAGAGCCACTTTCCTGCCAGTAATACTTATTTTGCAAAAGGATTACAATTGCAAAGGTTAGGATGTCTGCTGGCAATATAAAAATAACCTTACCAAGCTGTGCACAACCTAAATTTTACGTCAGTAAAATTAAGGAAGAAAAAGGAACTCATTGCAGAGTTGTTTCAGCAGCCTGAGTTTCCTGAGCCTTTGGGCCTTAGAGATGTTGCTTGGCAACTGGCATCAGCAGTGGGTTTGAGCAGGGCCCGCAGGTACCAATCACAGCTGATTGCCAGAGCTTGGATGTGTCTACATATGCCACCCTTGACTCTTTCACACCCACTGTCTCTATCTTTTTCTTTTAGGTAATTCACTGCCAGCTGCTCCAAATGAGGAGTCCAACACCCTGAACGGCAGTTCCCCAAAGGAGGAGCCCAACCAGTTCCCCATTTTTTTTGGTAAGAATTAGCTTTTGCAGTTCTTAGCTCTCAGTCTTTTATATGGATTGCATTTCCATTTCAACCCATTTTATAACATTCCTGAGACTAAAGAATGGGTTTTGATCTTTGCCAAAGGATTTGATAAGCAGAGAAAGCCAAAGCAAAAGAATATGTCACAACTTATGGATCTTTCATAAATATCAGCAAGTGGAAGACTGACCACTCTCTCTAAAAAGTGTGCACTTCCTAAAGACCTGTATAATACAAAGAGCAAAAGCAGTGCTGCATAATTCTTTCAGTCTAAATTAATATTTTTGTGAGGAATTCCTAATAAGGAATTGATTTAAATTCCTTTCATCCATTAAAAAAAAAGAAGGACATTTGGATTTTAGAACATAGCATAGTATAACATATTTAATACCAAAATGTATTTATTTTTACTGTGACCGTATAAACTCACTTTTGGGTTGAGTATAATCACAATGAGTATGAATTAATTTAAGATGCTTTAATTAATTTTAATTTAATTAATTTAAAATGTCTCTCCAAGGTATTTTTGCACTATGTATTATAATGCAGGTGGGACTCTGGACCTTTTACTGAGGAGAGATAAGCTTTGACAGTACCAGCAGCTGGACACTGTCCACTGTAGGTGGCTGCTGCTTGCTCACACTGTGCAGGGTGATTGAATTTGAAGTGTGTCATTTTTATGATCCACAGTTGTGCAAGAGGAAGCAACCAACAGTTGGAAAGAGCCTGAGCATTCTCACCAAGTATTTATGTTGGTTTTTTGCTTTTGCACTTGCTTGCACTTTTGAGGACTGAGTTATGACGTAGAGACTCGCTAAGGTTTTTGCATTTTCTATGTTCTGTAAGATAACAGGTGTGTAGGTGGCATTCCTGTGCTCTTTGCTTAGAATGGAGTGTCCAATAAAGCATGAGTGTGTGCTGCACCCTGGTTTTTGCCTACACTGTAATCTACAAGCACTGCTGGTTTGATGTAAGTTTCTGTACAGTTGTGTTGTTTGCCACATGCAAAGCATCAATGCACTCTGTAATTTAAATGAATGAATATAAAATAGTAAAGCTTTTGGCAGCCTATTTTACTGAAAACTGTGAATTACATAAGGTCTGCTAATAAGTCTAGGGGCATTAAGGGGCAAGCACATTCCCTGAAAGTTTTTAGTCATAGTATGAATAATCCTCCAAACAGCTAACCTATGCCAGGAAAGGAACATGCTTCACTATGTTTTCTCAGAGGAAATGGAAGGGATTTTGATTGTGTCAGCAACAGGGAATTTTCCTGCACAGCAGACTTTGAGAGTAAGAGAAAGAAAACTGAAGATTGATGGAACAAAGAGTCAGTGTAGCAGATGGGTTGGGTGAGAAGCGCAGCTGTGGAAGGACCAGGAAATTTCCATGGAAAGTCTGAAGATCCAACAGGTTCTTCCTAACTGTGTGACCTTTGTCTTGCCCTTGTCTGCCTCATGCAGCCTCCTGTTCTGTTTATCAGCTGGTACCCTTCAGGCTGCTGGAATGGGCTAAAATCAGGTGATTTTGGCAATCCCACTAGAGGGGAAGGCCAAAGCTGACCGCTGATTTCTCCACAGAGACCTGGAGAACATTGTCTCCATTGCTGCTCTTTCTGGAGGTGCAGCTATAAAGTGAAGCTCCAAGGCAGAGACAGGTCACACAAACGTGCAGGGTAACTGTCTGTAGCTTTCTGTGAGGGACAAGAATTTGGGTGAACTGTTTGCGATGGAGTGGCTGATGTCCATCTCCTCAAGCATAGGCAAATTGATCTGCCATTGTAATATCTATTTGCTATGTATATTGGCCTGGCTAAATATCTTTTTCAAAGAACATTAAAAAATTAAATGTAATTTAGTTAATTTACACTTAAAAAAATTACAAGGAGTTGTGTCTTATAGAATACCTCACCTTACAATTGACAAGCTATTTCATCTTGATTTTAAGAAAAAAAAAAAAAATTGGTATGTGTAACTCTGTAACAATATCAGGTTTTTTAGATTGACAATATAGTTGTTGATTTTCAGAAGAATAAACTGTTCTATAAATAAATGGCCAAATAAAGCAAACCATGGATATAGACATGAAGCTTCTAGCACTCTCAGCAATGAACTTTCTGCAGAGATTGAAGATTGTTCTGGTCTCACTCTGCTGAAACATCTATAATAACTTTTACTCTGTGCAAACTAAGAGAGAGTGAGGCTAAGAATCAAAGCTCTCATTTTATGTGATCTATGGTAGAAAATTGCAAGCACTATACCTACATTTGATTTGGGAGATTTGAGTGGGAGACAGGATCAAAAGTCAACTTTCAGCTCAGCGAATTTGGAATAGCACAAGGATGCAGGTCCTGTGAGTACAGAGTCAGGGTCATCTTTTGCTGATATAAATTGGCACAGTTCTATTTGCTTTAATGGATTTGCACCAATTTATACCTGTGGATTACCGTCAAGTGCAGCTGACTCATTATTTTTGTAATAGCCTGTCCACTTGAAGATTCTTTTATTTTCGCTTTGCTGCAACCAGAAATGAGGAGCTGAAGTCTGCACATATTGAAAATCTGGCAATAAACCTGAAGCTTCATGAATGTCACACACTGGTGTCTCGGGAGGAATAGCGTTCACTGCATTTCCTTTCCTCCCAAGATAATTTCAAACTTGTTTTCTAGTGTCAATCATTATTAGCAGTCCATTGTCACACAAGGTTGGGGTTCTCTCTGATAAATGTGAGTCTTTATCTAGATGTGCATATTTCAGAGATTCTGAGATTGATTAATCTCTGATTTTTCAGAAATTATGATCATGTCATCTGTTTATACCTCAGGGGGATGGGATTCAAGAAAGGGCTGTATTATAGGAATGGAATCTTAAGCTGTACAATGTGTACCTCTTCTTTTTTATGTGGTTTTGTGGCTCGTGGGACTTTTGCTTCTTTCATTTTCTTTTTTTCTTCATAAAAATGCAGGAGAGAAAACTTTTCAACAACTCTCAGAAAAATAGGGTTTTAAAATAGAAACATTTGGGAGAGAAACTCAAGAATAGGCATAACAGCTCAATTTTCTGTTCCATCACATCCATAAATACACCTTGAGGAACTGGAGGTGAACAGAGACAACTCACCTGCTGTAATGTCCTGGTGACACTGTTTACACACTGCCTCACAGGCCTTCACATTGTCCTGCCAATAGACACACTGGGCATGATACAGGGAATGTTTTCTTCTTTGATTACCTGAAGTCAAGTATTTCAGTAATCAATACATTCAAAAAAATTCAGGATAAATTTTATGATCTTCATGATAGAGGAAATTATGATAAGTTATTTAGTTTTTATTTTAAAATACTGATTTTTTTGGGAAAACATGTCCCCAGGTGGCAAAATTAAGAGGTTTTCTTCATGGGCTGGTTGCTTCTGTGAGTGAAGAACATGCAGGTGTTTTGAAGATAAACAAGGAACAGTGTTTGGTATTTTAGGCATTTATCTGACAATGATAGGGGCAAGGAATAACATAATTTTTGGGAATAATACGAGAGGGATTCTGAATAGCACCTGGCTCTCTGGTGCACTGTGCATACACAGGCAGTCCTTGTTACCTCATCACTGGCTCCATGGTTCCCCCAAATCTTGCAGTCATTGTTGGGAACTCCTTCCTGAGGGGACTGTGGACTCCCTGGCGAATTCTACATGGCAGATAAGTAATTTGCATTACAAAGTGGGTATTTGAATTCTCTGTTATAATTAACAAGCCTGTGCTGTCTGGCCCTTTGCTCACTGGCAAGCCTTTCTGCTCTGTTCTTTGTAGGCTCAGAAATTAGCAGGTTTAAATAGGCAAGCCATGCTGAACATATGCTTTGGGAACTACCCTCCTCTCCAGCTAGAGAGAGAGATGAAATTAGTTCCAGGCTCAAGAGTTCTCAGAGCAGTGCCAAAAGCATTGCTTTAGTTAATTTAACTACCATCTTCATTATAAAAAAACAGTAGGTTTAATAGAGATTTTATCACATTGTGGGCTTGTACTCTGGACCCAGAGTGAAATTTGGTCTTCCAATTATGAAAAGAAGTTAAGAGGTTCTCATTTTGTAACTTGAAACTAACTTAGTCTATCTCAAAAAAGCAACTCATTACTCGGTTTCTAAAGTTCAGAATTTTTTTTTTTAATATGAGGTTGCTAACACACCATTCTATATCCCAGCCATTTTTCATACTTTTTCACCACAACTGTTCAGCTATTTCACATTTCAGATAAACCTTTTTTTTTAGCAGCTGTACCATATGTCAGACACCTAAGACGCAGTATGGGCTTTTTGAATATTTTTCAGCCTCCTGCTTTGTCCAGGTTTTAATGCATAACTTCTTGCTTTCAGCAGCTCATCTGCTTCCCACTTTTGTGACCACAGGATGTCTTCAGCTTTGCAGTAACCCAAATGATTTCCTCAAATTTTAACTTTGTTTTTCCGCTGAACTCCTTCTGTGCGACTTTGTATCTTCAAGAGTTCCATCTGATCGGCTTCACATTTGCATTTATGCATTCATTTATTGAATTTATGTACCCAGTTCTGCTGCTTCCTGAGGAAAAATGGTGCTCTTTTGGGTTCCACATAACTGCTCCCATAATGGCTCCCATTCAGCTTCTTGCAGCCTGTGCAGCAATTTTACCAGTTCCTATTTTGTTTATTAGTCACTCTGGGCTGATAGATGATGGAGCTCTTCCAGGTTTGGGAATTCTGGCATGGACTTGCTTCTTGAACTTGTTCCAGTGCCCAGGTCCTTTGGCTACCCCAGGTTCATCCTCCAGTGTTTCAGTTCTCACTTGCAGCCCCCTGAAGGAGCAAACCAGCAGCCTCTCCTTGGAATGGTAAAATCCTGCCAGCAGCACTAACACACCAGCATCTCCTTTCATTTGTGCACTTGCTCTTCACATTCAGTGCTTTTTTTATTCTGCAAGTTGCAAGCTAGTGTTTTATAACTGCTCAATGGCTGCTGACAGACCCTGTTACTTAGGTCAAGTTTTCTGTAGTATTCAACAAACTCAGCACTGAGGTATTGCATCTTACATTGGAAATGCTGGGTACTTTTACCTTCTCCTTGATTTCAGAATGTCTAGCAGTGATTCGCTCTGTTAACTATTAGAAATATTTACCACATTTTTAAAGCTGTCCACATTTAATTTATTTCACGTCACTTTCTACAAATGCTTCACTTGAAATGCCTCAATCTCTCCTATGGCAGAAATGGCAATTTTATCACTAACAACACAAGTAAAGGTACAGCTTTCAGGTAAGCTCCTGCTGGTAATCCAAAGACAGGATGGCATTTTACTGTGCAATTTTTTTTTTTTTTTTTGTAACCATAAAAGATGCTTATGCCAAGTATCTTGGATTTTCAAGAGAGCAGAATTAAATTTGCCAGCAAAAATTTCAAATAATATTGGCATAAAACTGAATTGCTGCAGTGTTGTCTCACCTTGTTTTTCTTGGCACTTCCAGAACCCCCTGCTATCCCTTCCTTGTGCATGACCCCCATGGACAGAGGGCTTTGCAGAGCCAAAGAATTGAGATTTTTCTACAACTTCTCCACTGGAAGGTGTCGCCCATTCAGCTACAGCGGCTGTGGTGGGAACGAGAATAATTTCGTCTCCAGGAAGTCGTGTTTGAGGATCTGCAGGAAAGGTATGGGAAGTGCTACTGCCCCCGGCTATGGCTCAGAGGTAAATATTGCGCGGGTCAAAACGTTCTCTTGCCACTTTTGGTAGCGAGGATTGGACTGATCAAATGTAACAGCTGGAAGTCTCAGGAAAGTGAGGATGGAAATCAGGAGAGGTACAGAGCTAGAGAGAGAAGGAGGGACAGTAAGTGCAGTGTAAAGGAACAGCAATAACACAACTTGGCATTGGTCAGGCGCATGAAGATTTTAGGTAAGACAATGTTCTTTTTTTTTTTTAAGATTAATTGAAACAAGCCTTGTCTCTTATTTCTGATAATCTTGGATGTCTTCTAATGTTACTTTGTTAATTTTACCTTTAGGATTCAATAAGAAAATAGGTGAAAGAAGATTAATAAGAATCAAGAAAAAAAGAAAGAAACAGCCAGTAAAGGCCCTGGACCTGGAAATCATGCCTGAAGCAATGCAACTTTGATTTTTATGGAAATGTGATGTAAACCGCTCTTCACCTGTGAATGAAAACCTTCAGTGTACACCATCAAAATATATTTACTGATTATTTTGATTATATATTACTAAGCTGCTTATATTTTTTTATGTATTCCTCAACTATGTTAATAAACATTACCTCTTACTTTGCTAAAGGTTTTTTAATTGCTGTTTGCTTGTATATAATTGTCAGAGCTGCAGCAGGACAATAAACGGTGGCATTGAACGGTTAAAATGAAGAGAAAATTCAGATTTAATTTCTTACCTTATTCTTTTTGAATTCTATTTTTGTACTAAAGAAAGCACAATATTTGTGAAAGAATAATCACTAGTCAAACATGATTGTTTCAGTCATCAATTAAAAGACAGGTGTATTGCTATAAAAAAGTAAATAGGTACTGGATTTGTTTTAACCAGATTTATTTTAGGTTGTGCAGGCCTAGATTTAACTCCATTGAAATGCATATAATTACAGTACTGTAAAATGAATATGAAATCAGAATTAACCCACAAAAATCCATAAAGGAAGTGTTAAAGCTGTAAAGGTATAAAGCAGAGTGGCAAATTTTTGGAAAGATTTAAAATTGTATGTGTTGTGGTCATTGATTTTTATCCTTGTTACTGATCCGGACTCATGGCTAAGCTTTACTGCTGAAATTGTTAAAAATTTAGGCATTCTAAATACTAGAACGGAGGGGATAAGTAAAATCAGATTTTTTTTCTACTGAAATTTTATCCAAATCTCTTTCCTGGTGCTTAAGTCCTTTCATGGCTCTTTCAATCTAGGATGCATTAATTCTGGTTTGAAAGATTCTCAAGGAACAGGAATGCACAGCAGAGAGCCTTTGTAGAGCCTTGTCATGTAAAATGTATGAGCACCACAGACTACCACTGCAATAACCCCATAAATAAAGTGCAGTTCTGCCAGGGAACATATAAACTCCACAGAATTGATTTGGCACATTTAGTCCCCTGGTTTCAGTTTCAATTTGCTGTCTTCCTGTTCTGGTTCCTGACTCTGCCCTTTCTCTCCAGGTTTCGCTGCCCTTCCTGCCCCAGGAGTGGAGTGTGCAGGTGTGGGTGCCCTGCACCAGAGCAGAGCAGTAGGGGAAGTACTCAGAGCAGCTGGAATCCCTCCCTGCAGATAAGTGTAGAACCCATGGATTAAACTGCTCCCACACCTCCCCACTCGTCCCATGGCACCTGCCTGAGCACAGCAGGTCGTGTGGCCTCCCCAGGGACAGTGGATTTAGGCATATTTGGGTCAGGATTTGCCCTCATGCCATGGTTACCCTGCTTGTGTCTGCCTGGCCAGGGATGCAGGTGAGGGCACAAATGTCTGCACCTCCCCTTGTCTGCATCTCATGGTCAAGCCAGTAAAATATCTGATCTTCCACTCTCAGCTGTAAACATGGGTTTACTGTATTACAACTTACATAATTTCTAGCTTACATGATGTACCTCAAAGGGAGGCAGAGCTGAAGTGACTGCATTAAACTAAAACATTTAGGGATTACACGTAAAAGACAAGGGAAATCATTAAGCCATCCCACCCAAGAACATGGAAAAGGATTTGTAAACTTTGTGAGATTGATGAGATTACAAGCTAGATTGATGAACTTTCTAAAACAGAATGTTTTGAAATGAGACAGTAGATATAGAAGGATAGGAGAGAAAAGATGGGTTTGTGTGCAGATTGTCTTGTGATTCCTGTGTCATTTCATGACAGTGTCTCTCCTTCAGGCTCCCTCTTGTTCCATCAACTTGTCCCTGGCTGCCTGGACTCAACACCTACAAAACCCACATGGGAAAAAAGATCCAGGGAAAAAATCATCCTTTCTGTCCCAGGAGAATCCTGGCTCTGTGGCTGCTCTCCATTTTATAAGTTTCCTTCTTGCTGAGCTCTACTGCAAACTGACAGGGTCTCCTCCCTGAGAGGGATCAGTTTCTCCAGGACTGTGAGGCTCCTCCAGGGCTGCTGTAGCTAGGACAGGACTGACAGGTACTCTCCCATCCTCTCCTACCCCACTCACATTGCACTGAAGAAATTTCTTGTGCTGCTGTAGTACACTCTGTAATAACAGCAATAAAGGGCTCCAGTGAGGTCTCTGTTGTGTCACTGTTGAGACACAAGGGAATTTGTACTGCTAGCATCTCAAGAGTTGCTCTGTTTCAACTGACTAAGAAAACATTTCTCAGTGATTCATCTGTCAGGCTTGTTGCTTAGTGCAATGAGAATCAAGGCTGCAGTGTCACAGACTGTAGAAACCTGATTATAATCAGGATTTGATCAGAGAGTGCAGGCTGCTCTCAGCTGTGTGTGCACTCAGTTTGGCCACCACACCAGCCATCCAGCTGTTTCTGGTTTTGTTTAGCTCTACAGGACATAGAGCTATTTTTTTCCCGTAAAAAGTCCAAACTGCAGTGTGATATGATCTTCAACATAACAAGAAGTTTCTTTTGTGCCCTTTTGCTTCATTCACTTCCTTTTGCTCCTGCACTTTCCATAGCTGCAGAACTGTCAAATCCAAGAATAAGAAAAAAAGATCTATGCATTTCCCAAAGACAGCTAAAGGATGAGCAGGGGCAGAATTGAGGCACAGCACAAGAAAAGGTATGGACCAGGTGCCAGAATGCTGAACCAGTCAGAACATGAGGCTGTGCTAAGTTGTTAGAGTGACTGTACAGTTCCACTTGACTAGAGTCCATTCATCCAGTCATTTCATTCCAGAATTTTCTCCAGTTGCTTTGGAGGGGAAATGCAGAGTGCTGTGAAATTTCTCCCAAGCTGTCTGAAAACAGCCAACAAGCTGAAGCAGTTTCACAGAGGTTTTGTTGAGTTTCCATATATCATCTGACCTGCAATAACTTGGTATGTGCCCTTAATCCACACAAATGGTAAAACAAAATATCTTTGAGAAATAATTTAGAGTACTTTTCTTCATTCTTTTTTTCCTCACATTTTTACTGGTATGTCCTCCTTTCTTTCCTTTTTATTTTCTACATCCTGCTTCATTTTATTTTCTTCCTCCTGCCTCACTTGAGCCAGCATTTCTCCCTGCAACTCCAATCCACTTATTCTCTCAAAGCTGATAGTTTTTTATTGACATTTTGAGCAAGACTCCATCTTTTTAGCTTCTGCCTTCTGAAACTTAGCGAAGGGGGACCTAAGGGTTACGTTTCCTAACCGGTTGTTTCAGTGTTTCCCCAAAGAAAGAGCGAGGTTCAGGTAAAAGCAGAGTTGTACGCGTGTGGTTAGGGGTGTTTACACAGGGTAATTAATTTCTGAATTAATTAATTCCTGCATTAATTAATTCCTGCATTAATTAAGGGGATAAATCCGCGTGGGCCCCTTCCGCGCCTGCGTTTATGCCGCGAGTGGCCGCGAGAGGGCGCTGGCGGCGCGGCGAGCGCCGGGCGGGCTGGCTCTGATGGAAAAGGAGGAATTCCCTGGATTTACCCTCTTTTCTCGCTTTTAAGCCTTCCTTTGGTCCCAGTGCAGGTGGCTTTGCATATTTGAACTGCTCCCTCCTTCGCTGTCGGTGCGCAGGGCAGCCTGTAGGGTGTGATTTACGCTCCTCGCAGCCAGGGGATGGGGAGATGCAGGGGAGGCACCGCGCTCAGGAGTGCAAAGTGCACCAGCTGAGGGGTCTCAGGTATCTGTAGGGTATGAGTAGGTAAGTTTTAATGTTACCTAAATCAGTAGAATATAAAACTTTGTAAAAATAAACTCCAAAACTCCCCAGAGCAAGCAACCAAGTGAAAAAAAAAATCCACAAAAACGCTCACACAAAACTCCACTGACTTGGACCAGCCAAATCAAACATGGCCTGTGTAAAACGTGTCTAGCTAATTCAGGTGCCTGTCTTGGAGATGTGAGCTTGGCTGGGATACATGGATTACTCTCTAAACTAGAGTGGGCAATGTACCTTGTTACAATCTACAACCTAGACCAAATTAGTCTAAAGCAATGCTACCAGGATCACTCCTGCTGAAGCTCCTGTACCTGAGATGACACCACTTCTTTTAGAGAAGTTAATTTCCACCACTGTTCAGAATCACAGCTAATCCCCAGTTTGTATGTGTTTACACTGCCTAGAGGCTTAAAGTGCCAGTCCCTAGTTTTTCACTGATTATAAAACTCCTGTTGATGAGAGATGCTAGAAGCTCATGTGCCAAATGACTATCCAAGTCTGCTTTTTTGGTAACCCTGGAGTGGGATGTCACAAACTGTATTGTCTAGGGGCCATTTGGATTTAAAGTATTCCTGGCCCTCTTTTCCCTCTTCCAATTTTTCCTGACCCTGCATTGGGGCTGGGTTTTGTTTGAAGTTTTTTGTTTATTTTATGGGGGTTTCCCCCCTTACCTTTGCATTTCTTGTTTTTTTCCTTCTTCAGGAAAATGTTTTCAATGCCCAGCTCACAGTGTGTTCTACAAATGATGCTGCTAGTAACGAAAACAAAAAAAAAAGTGGATAAGTGACAAGTGGCAAGAAACAGGCAAAATATTTTATGTTGGTTTATGAGCAAATTTAATGGTATAATTTTGATAAATCCTTGTCACAATGTGACTTTTGGGAGGCTTTTGTGGGGTGCCCTCAGGAGTACTGGTGTTACAGGTGTTCATATAATTTGAGTTTGATGCTCCATGAACCCCCCATTTGCTCATCATAGTGTTGTCCTGTGCATACAGTAACTCGTTATTGGTTTAGAGGGCACAGATTTGGTCCATAGTACTGGGAATTGATTGTACAAAAACATTTTTAGTTTCTGGTACAATATTCTTTGAATATTCTTTCAAGAAAGAAAGTCTTTCAAGAAAGAAAGTCCTTCTTGTAAAAAGACTGCTATTCATTTTGTTTTGTCCTCTCTCATGGCAGTTTCCAAACCATTCAAACTTGTTCTTTCAAATCACCAGTGTTTAGAAAAAGATAGCATAGAGATCAGCAGTAACAATGTTCCTGTTGCTTTTTTTCACTACTCTTGACACTTCAAAGACTTATTTCTTTAATACATTGTTTTGTACCCAAGAAAAAAAATAATGGCACTGTGAATTATGCACCTGCTTGTAAGTGAAAATTTGAATCTGACCTTTGCAGCTGAGGAATAAAGGTATTTCTGTGCAGAGCTTTTCAGCCCTTAGCGTATGGAGTGTCATGCAGCCGCTGGCAGAGGAGCTGGGTCAGGTCAGTCTCACTGAGGAGGAAAGCAGCTCTCGAGTACCCTTTGAATAAAGGTCGAAACTAATCTGTTTCTACGGG